AAAGAGCCTGAATTACACAGTATATTGTTTGGAGACAATACATATATGGTAAGCATATTTCTAAAACACAGCAAAGCAGTGATTCGCACACATTCAGGAGAGTAATTATCCCTGGGGTAGTCAGGAGTCGAGGCTCCTAGGAGCACGGGGGGTGTGGAAACGTCCACTTTCTCAGGCTCAGACGGAGGTATCGGGGGTTCTATTGTATCCGCGTTCTTTATACTCGGCATAAACATATACGTGCTTTTGTGTGCGTGATGGATTTCCGAGGTTTCTTTTCAAAGAAAGAGTGAATTGCAGCTAACAGTGCAGACGGCCACCAGAGCTGAGAGCCTGGCATTTCTCAGGGAAGGCGGCAGGAAGCGAGCCGGCCAGGGGGAAGACAGGGCAGAGGAGGACCTTTCCTAGATGGACGCTCGAGAGCACGTGCACTCGCTCTCAGGGAGGACTCACCGCGGGAGCCAATCCCCACATTGGCATCTCCGTTTAGGGAAATCTGCACTTCCCCTGCCCAAAGGTCAGCCTGACTATTTGCAACTTGTCCCCTTAACATGAGTTCACTGTGGAGAACAGACTATATACAAAGCCTTTTTGTTTGTTTAAATCCAATAACTTTTCTATGAAAAGCAGCTTGATCCCTGTATTAGAGACACGTATGCCTTCCTCACAGAAGCCGGCTGAGTCCCAGGCACTTTGGGGTGTCAGTGATTCCACTGTTATAAGCATTTTTGTCTCTGAAAAATCTCTAAGTGTGAAGATGTAGGATGACGTTTTTGATTACAGTGGGGGAGGAAATAATTCCTGGATAAAAAGAGAAAAGCCTTCCTCCCCCGCAGCTGGGTCACTGTTGTTATGAACCCATGCTGGCGTCTGTGGGTGTCACTAACGAGGGCAGTCGCGGCCATGGAAGGCCGCGTGGCAGGCCGTGTGGCAGGGCGCTGGTGTGCGGGTCCCTGGCTCGTTGCAGAGCTCAGATGCTACCTCCCGACAGAAACAAGAATAGTCACTTCCCAGCTGTTCGGTGGCAGGACAAAATGCAAAATTTAAACCATTAAATAGTTCTGGAAGCAAAAGAACAGGTGGTAAATGGTTTCCCAGGCAGATGGTACTTTTTAATCATTGTGTTCGACCGTCAGCCGCTCTATGAGTGGCTGTAACTATCACTCATATTTTACCTTTTTCACTTGAATGCTTGCAAAATGGGGGCCTAGATTCAAAACGAGCTACCATCAGTCTTTTTTTTTTTTTAAGATTTTATTTATTTATCAGAGAGAGAGAGAGACAGAGTCAGGCAGAGGGAGAAGCAGGCTCCTTGCTGAGCCAGGAGCCTGATGTGGGACTCGATCCCAGGACCCTGGGATCATGACCTGAGCCGAAGGCAGAGGCTTAACCGACTGAGCCACCCAGGCGTCCCTAAAACGAGCTACCATCAGTCTTAAAAAAAAAAAAAGGAAGAATCACTTCATTTATTTTCTCAACTCGGGGCAGTGCTGGAGCCATGCGGCGCTATGACCCCCAGGGGGTCAGGGACGCGGCGGGCAGGCCGCAGGTGCGAGCCCGGGCAGCGTGCAGAACCACCCTCCGCCTCACGCTGCAGGCTCCCCCCAAAACCTCAGGGTCTCCTTAGACACTAGGAAATAAATACGGCACAAGATCTGTCTTTCTCCGAACGCTTCCTTCTTTAGCCTGAGTTCTAACACTTAAAGGAGCCCTTGGAACGAAGGCAAAGTGCGTCCAGCTGCAAGCCGACGGACAGAGCGGACAGGAGGACAGGAGGACGTGCACTCCGCCGGCCCTCCAGCCACCGCCACAGACCCTCAGGCGTATCTGCAGGCCCAGCCCTGGCTCCACCTTCCCTCCCGTCTATGTCACCCTGACTCAGGAGTGGGCGTGTGAGAATCAGCAGCAGAGATGGTGTGAACGACAGAACCGGTCGCACGGTATGGAGTCTGGCCACGCACGCGGGGGAAACTGCCCAAGGTGCAGACGTAAGGAGCACGGCCTGGTGCCCGCCGCGGGCTGAGCGAGGACAGGCAGACACAGCCCCGCCACACACGACCTACAGGCCGGGGAAGGGGACAGATGCATGAACAGACGGCAGTCTGCGGGGTCCCAGGGAAGAGGATGCGAGGACCAGCTCCGTGTGTGCCCGCAGCGCTCTGGAGGGAAGACTCCAGTTCACGATTGACGTGGACCAGCTCGTGGGGCTCTTCAAATACGGTGTCTTAATTTGAAACGTTAAATCATGTTAAAGGCATATAATTAAGTGTAGCTCTTCCGGCTGATCTTCTTTCCAGCGATAAGCCTATCTCCTTCTGGGTCCTTCGTTCCTGGATCACTAATGCTCCCCGCTGAGCTTATTCACACACCAGCAGAGGTTTCCACACCTTGTTAAGGGGGGTTCTAGAATATAAACCAGGGTTTCTCGGCAGAAGCACTATTAACATCTTGGGCCAGATAATTCCTCATCGTGGGGGCCATCCCGGGCATTGTGGGGTGTGTGGCAGTCTCCTGGCCTCTGCCCGCCAGATCCCAGTAGAACCCCCCAACTTGTGACGACCAAAAAAATGTCTTCAGCTGTCGCCAACCATCTGCCCCCGGGTGAGAAGCATAGAGCTACACCCTGTAGGGCTTCTACGCTTACCTGGATTTCATGACTAAGCCAAGGGCATAAATAAAATAGTCCAGCTCCTTTACCAAATACGTGAATTCTCTGAATAAAAACAAGATTATTCACCTGTAGATAAATTAAAACTCACATGCTTTTATAAATCAATTTCAATATGGCGCACACTTCACAGACAGATGCGTTTTTCTTGTTCTGTAAAATCTGCTTCGCCGGGGATGTCATTCTGTCTCAGCCCCACCTAGCCCTTCTCCCAGCCCTGTCCCCCTCCAGGAGCCTGTTCCGAGAGGTGGCAGGAATTTCCCAGCATCGAGAATGCTCATCGGCCCTGGCAACTCCTCGATCTCACCGAATCTCATTCTATGGAGCTACTGACTGGTTAAAACGAGCTCTGAGAGACAAACTATCTGTTCAGGTTTCTCCGATCCATGGTTCCCAGAAAGTTTTTAAGGAAATTCTGGAAAGGGCTCATCACAGGCACGGCCAGTCTCACCCAGATGCCTTCTGCTGACATCAATGGGACACTGCCAGGGACAGAATGCTAGGTGGTTGGATCGCCCAAAGGACCCACTTAGCAGGGGTGCCCTGGGTAGGACCACAGTCACTGTGGGTGCCAGAGCTGGGCACAGAGCTCGAGGCTGCTCCCCGGGCTGGGGTTGTGCATCTGGACCAGCCCCACCACTCTTACTCAATTCCCACCCGATCCCTCTGCTGCAGCGTTCGGTTTTTGTTTTCGGGTTTTCGGATCAATACCACAGGGGCCGTTTTAGAAGCTGCCTCTGGACGCCCCCCCCTCTTCCTGACGGCACATTTCGGTGGTTACCTACAAGACAGATCATGTTGACGCAGTCATCCTCTAACTGAATGCATATTACGGCAAATTTGATTATAGCACTTTATAAAATGCAAACACAGAAAGACACCTAATTATTATGTCACTTTATAAATCATAGGAGGCATGGGAAACAAAGCCACCCCTGGGGTACATGCGTTTGGGTTCCTTCTAAGATTAATTTTCTCAGAAAACAGTAAGTCATCCTTAATAAATGCCAATGGACTGATGGATTTTAACTGAAATCTTGACACAGCTGTAAATTATGTTCCACACAAGAGATTATTTATGTGTTTTATTTATTTCCCCATCACACCCTAAATGCATGTTCACTAACAGCCTGAAATAGAAATAAGATTTTGTTCTTGAGAATACAATGTTCTACTGACCAACTAATTTATCAAGCCATAGTGAACTACAGATGCCAAAGACCACATCTGATTTTCCAGAAACAGTATCAGCAAATCAAAACAGGAGAAGAATGAAAATGGGTTGTTCCTCTTTCTCCCAAGAACCTGGATGTGTGTGTGCACGGGTCTCACAACCTAGAGACGTTTCCTGTTACTGATAACCTGGCAATCAATGATATTAATGCTAACATTAGAATTCTAGTATCGGATTAATATGAGAACCCACAGAATTTTTATTCAGGTCTTATCACATCACAAGCAAACCTAACCCTGAAGCAGTAGGACCAGCTCTCAAGATCTGAGTACTTACTAAAAGTCATTTCAAATTCATGCTTTCTTGCTACACTTAAGGGAAGGACCTAAGCTCACGTTCACTAGTGGCTTGGACACATGGCCTGCCGGTCACGATTAACAGACACACACCAACATCTGTGAATACACATGGACAATAGAGCTGGAACCAGTCCAAGACCCGCGTCTCTCCATCTCCCTGCTGAGCCCCCCGAACACGCATCGCAGCTCCACTCGGGTACCAGAGTGTCTACCAGCCCCACATCTGCCCTGAAGACTTCCCAGAAGAAGCGCACACCCATGCATTAAAAGGAAGTCGAGGACCTCCATGGCCATCCATGCCCCTCACAGTCAGCCACGCGCATCAGGGACCTCCTGATATCCCTGCCCCCACGTTCACAACAAGCCAGCCGGCAAGCCCAGAGCAGGTGACTTCGTGAGTCCCAGCATTGCACTTTTTTGTGTTTTATTAACTTAGATGCTTATCTAGTTTCTGTTGTCTTTGCTCCCTTCCGAGCTCCATGTAAGGAAACCACAAACCTCTGGGGACCTTGACACTCTCAGTGACTACATTACTCTGCCTCAACACTTAGTAAAGGGAAGTCTCACTTCTCCGAATAGAAACTTCTAACTTGACTTCATGGCAGAAAACACCCAAGTAGACTTAGCAGGACATTATTCAGTGGAGTTGAGGTCCATTTGTGTAGCGTGAAGATGAGCCCCCACAGCATGTCCCTCCCTGGGTGCCCTCGGCACACGAATCCAGGGGTCCCCAAAGCCGGAGGCAGGCTGTGAGCTCCAAACCAGCTCCAGGCTTGGAGAGCCCATGCCCTGTGCTTACCGGAGAAGGGGGCGGTCCTCAGGGGTATCGTGATGGGTGCCAAAGTCAGGAAGTGGCAGGGCTGCACACTGGAGGGGGATGGGCCCCCAAGTCCCTCGGGGTCCACAGACACCACGGCGGCCGCGGCAGTGATGGCAATCCCGGGGCTACTGCCAAGAGGCTTCAGGCTGTTGTGACAACCACCTGCAGAACAGGGACAGGGAGGTCAGCACGGGGAGGCCCGGTGTCCATCAGGGGCAGCTGCCATAACATGACGCAGCGTATCATCACCCAGGAAACAAGGGCAGCCCTAACCCGTTTCTCGGAAACCCATGCTGGGTGCCAGTATCCCAGAAATAAATGGGATGGGTTCTCAGTCCGCCCAAATGTTGACTGTGCACAGAGCACATGCACACCGCTATGTGATGTTCCGTGAGGCACAAAGCTTAGTCGCCGGGGGACACGCGTGCCTTAGAGAGCAGCTCCTTGGCTGTGGGACCCACGTGGTACATATATAACCAGGGATGGTGGTGACAAGCACACAAACCCCCGGAGCAGCGGGGGCTGCGGGCCAAGCAGGAGCGCATAAAGGTCGGAGCGGGCTCGGAGGAGAAGGCAGCTGTGGGTCAGGGTGGGGAGGGTTCTCTAGAGCCCAGGAGGCTCCGCTGACCCCTGAGGATGTGGCTGCCACCTGCCCCTGCAGAGGAGGAACTTGATACCCATATCGGCTTGGGCAGCCCCTTGTGAGGAGTCAGGCTCCAAACTCGCAATTTGGCTTGTCTTTCCTGGCATAATTGGAAACACTTGAAAGTTTGCTTCCGTCTCTGCCTTTTCTGTAGAGTTGTTTTTTTGGGTTTTTTTAAGGAATCTTCAGTCCCTAAAATAAGTATGGTTTCTAAGAAATATTCTGTAGGTACCAGCTTATATTGATGGTGCAAGTTCTGGAAAGCCATTTGGAAATGTTTTAAAAATGTTCATATAGTTTACCACTTTCAATCTAATGTTTCCCTTTCTAGAATTCACCCACATGCCCAATGCCTTAAGATAAAGTTTATAGTGAGAAGCTAGAAAAGCCAGCAAAGGGCAGATGCTTGTATTAACAATGGTGCGTCCACTCAACGAGACACCGAACAGTAGAATCATACCAGGGAGAACACTCGGCGCCATAGGGGATGGCTCACAATATGTTCAGTAAATAAAGCAAATTACAAAATCATTTATATTTCTATACCATATAGTCATTCAGTCAGCAGCTCCTGATTTGGTTGACTAGATGCCAACCATGTTCTAGCTCTTAGGGACAGAGCAATGAACCGAGCAGACGGAAGGCCTGCCTTCAGGGACCACACCTCCCAAGGAGGGAAGACACATGGTATATACTTCCCTTGTTTATTTGCTTTGTCTTATAGGTTGATGGGCACAATGCAGAAAAGTAAAGTGGGGAAGAAAAAGGATGGGGAATTGGTAGGTGGGTTTCATCTTCATACAGGGTTGTCAGGAAGGTCTGCCCTGAGAAGAGAATTTGTAGGTGACAGCCTGCAGGAGGCGAGAGGTAAGAACAGGCCAGGGAGAGGTGGGGAAGTGCAAAGGCCCCGAGGCAGGCGCCTACCCAGTGTGTTCCAGAAGCTGCAAGGCGAGCAGGGAGGTGGAGTGGAGGGGCAGAGATGAGGAAACGTGGGTGTGGGGTCAGGAGGAGACTGCCTTGCGGGCACACTGAGGCATGCGGCTGACAGGAGGGTGGGGTGCAGAGGAGCAGCACGTTCTAGTTTCATTTCAGTGTCTCACCGTGGCTGCCTTGTTGGCAACACACGGGAAGGGGGCCAGCTGCGTCCTGGCTACACTCTGCCAGATCCTAGGTCTTTGTTTTTGTCTTTCCACAGTGTTCAAATCCCCTTTGATTGGCATATACAAATTTTAAAACTATAACTTAATTTCTATGGAGTAGTTCGAAGTGTACAGGAAAAGGGGGCACACAGTACAGAGTTCGCACAACGCCGCCACACAGAGCGCCCGGCCCCCCAGCTTCCGGTCTTGCATCACTGCGGTGCACCCGTCACCCTGAAGAACAGGCACCAGTACGCGGTGGTTAACTGAAGCCCCCCCGGACAGCAAGCTTCGTGGTTTGTGTGTGCATTCTCTGAGCTTTGCCAAAGACAGACGGTCATGCATTCCCATCGCAGAATACAGAATACAGAAGAGCTGCACTGTGCTAAAATCCTGTGTCCTGCCTGTTCATCCCCCTCCCGCCCCCCCCACAACCACAGATCTTCTTACTGCCTCTACGGTTTCCCCTTTTCCAGGATGCCGTATAATTGGAACCAGACATTACGTAGCCTTTTCAGACTGGCCTCTTGCACTTAGCAATGTGTGATTGAAATCTCTCTGTCTTTTTGTGGCAAGACAGGTCCTTTCCTTTTATCACTGAATAATATTCAATCGTCTGGAGGGACCACAGCTCACTCATCCACTCAGCTACTGAAGGGCATCTTGGCGGCTTCCAAGTTTTTGCAATTATGAATAAAACAGTTATAAACATGTGCATGCATGTTTTTGTTTGGACACAAGTTCTTTATTTGGGTAAATACCAAGGAATGTGCCTGCTGGATCGTATGGGAAGACAACATTTAGCTTTGTAAGAAGCCACCAGACTGTCAAAGTGGCTGCACCATGTTGCATCCCCAGCAGCCAGGAACGAGCACTCCCACAGCTCCTCAGGCTCGCCAGCATCTGATGTCAACATTCCGGATTCCGGCCGGTGTATGGGAGCATGTCCTTGTTGTCACACACACATTGGCAGTCAGGAAAAAAAAAAAAACAAACAAAGCCCACTATTCTAAATATATCATCTTACTTGATAATAAAAACCCATTATAGAAAATTTATAAAACAGACTGAATAAGTATGTAAAAATGTCCCTGCAGACTCCCCAGCTGATCACAGCTGATCATTTGTCGTGCAGCAAACCCATTTCCTGGGGGCACGGTCTGGCTGCACGGTGTCCCCCTCAGACGGCAAGAACAGCTTTTT